ACTGGGAACTTACTATGCAGGGCTCGAATTAACCGACGCACCGACGGCAATTGCCGTCGTGCCCCTATCAAATTGCCGTACTGCCCTGAAAATCCAACCCCCCGCGACGGCAGTCACCTGCCTTGCCCTTTTGTGTAATTGCCGTCGGTGCCCTTTAATCTACGCCCTAGTTTCGTTTTAGTCTAATCAACATAACACGTGCGCGTGCGTGCTGTAGTTCAATGATGAGCTAAAAACGTATCGCAGGAGGGAATAATAACGGCATCGGATAACATTATTTGCTCCTGATAGCGGGCATGTAAATTTCTTGTTACTGTACTTCCATTGGCAGAGGTGGTACAGGGTCCGGTGTTATGGTTAAGCTTGTACATGGGGGCATATTGTTGTGTACATTAAAAGCAAGACAGTGTTGATGTACTAATTTGTTACGAGTTTTCCTTTATTTTACAAAAGTGCTTGGTGCCCTTCTCAATTTGAGAGTTGCCTTGGTGCCTTTCTATTTTGAGAAAAATTCAAGTGAATTCTCACATGGCCCTAAAAAAATGGCTTGCCCTTCTCGTCGGCTTAATCGAGCCTTGTTACTATGTATCGGCAATACTCTTATTAAACTAATATAACCTGTTACAAAAATTCGAAGTGAGAGGCGGCGAAATCTGAGCGCCATTTCTGTTGACCTGTGACGTACTTCGGTTTGAGAGTGGATTCACCGACAATCGGAGGCCGCGTGCGTTTGCCGATCGCTATGGGCATTGGAAATGCGTACGTCACAGTCAACAGAAATGGCGCTCAGTATATTCGCGCTGCCGTCACTTCGAATTTTTGTAACAGGTATATTAGTTTATACAGAGTATTGCGGATACATAGTAAGTTTCAGATAGCGGAGAAAGTTCGTGTTGAGAATAAACCCAGTTTGGAAGTTCTAGTATCTGAAAACGCACCAGCAACTGGCCAGTGATTCACTCGGCATTCTCCGCAGAAAAGGATAGGGACACTTTGTAACCCTATCCTCTTGGTTTGGGTTACATTATTGTATCTAGTAGTAGTAGTACTAGTACAACTTACAAACGAAACGTTGCCGCAAACCTAGGCAGTCACTACTCACTAGGCGATTTTTCATGCGATCGCAACCGGCCGGCTCAATCGCATGAAAAATCGCGTAGTGTGTCCAGTGAGTCGGCGTTCAATTTTCGAGTCGGCCGGCCGAGTTGCCCGATTCAAACATGTTTGATATTATGTAATTATTGAGCCGGCCGCTGCAATCGCCTAGGCTAGTGTGCCGGGTCTGCGATTGAGCCTGGCCGATTGTACATTCATCAGCCAATCAGCGTGCTAAAAAACCACAGAGCGCCCGACTCACCCAGTCGCGTAGTGTGTCCACAGAGTCGCCCGACTGACGCCGGCTCGATCGCATGAAAAATTGCGTAGTGTGTCCACAGCTTTAGTCTTAGCTCTAGTACTATAGCCCGCTTTCATTAACTGCCGCAGGCGTGCTGCAGTTAATGAAAGCGGGCTATAGTATAGTACTAAAGCTACGCTGCTCTGTGGCATTAGGCCCACATGCACAGGCACTTGGGAGCGTTTCAATAAAATATAATGCTAAATAAATACGAAATCTATTTACTACCAACAACGTCTTAATGTTTCTATACTCTCTTTCACCTATTATTGCCGACAATTTCCTGCAAATGCCGTCCAAATGCTCATCTGCAACAAACGCTGGCTGCCGCTGCACACTGACACATAAATATATAGCAGGTAGGAAAGCGTGCTGCCAAAATTCGCTCGACGCTTGCTTGATTTCACACGAATACCACACAAATATTCCACCATTCTACTCCATCTTTGTTTCTATTTGAAGGACAGTGTTCACTTGTTATAAAAACATACTGTCTGTGTTCGTAACCGAGCTGTGTCACGCAAAATCACACAAAGCCCTTACGAAATTCTCGCGTTCGCTCCCGTTGCGCAGTTTATCTAAATGGCTGCAAGTACAGGGCTATAGGCGGCGCACTGCATTTTGGGAAACTACTACGCTGCTTTCCAACTCTCGTGCGAGCCTTGTCCAAGCCGTCAATGGAGCGTTGCGGCGCAAAAATGAGGTCACGAAGAGCGCCGGTGGGTGTTTCCTGATTCTGACAGCTATTTAAATAAACTGCGCAACAGGAGCGAACGCGAGAATTTCGTCAGGCTTTGGGTGATTTCGCGTGACACAGCTCGGTTACGAACACAGACAGTATGTTTTCATAACAAGTGAACAATGTCTTTCAAATAGAAACAAAAATGGAGTAGAATGGTGGAATATTTGTGTTGTATTCGTGTGAAGTCGAGCGAATTTTGGCAGCACGCTTTCCTACCTGCTATATATTTATGTGTCAGTGTGCAGCGGCAGCCATGGCGGCAACCAGCGTTTGTTGCAGATAAGCCATTTGGACGGCATTTACAGGAAATTGTCGGCAATAATAGGTGAAAGAGAGTAGAGAAACATTAATTAAGACTGGTAGTAAATAGATTTCGTATTTATTTATCATTATATTTTATTGAAATGCTCCAAGTGCCTGTGGTGTTTGTGTTACTGTTAGTGTTAATACAAACACTTACTAGCAGTGTTAGTACTATTACTCACTACAAATAAGAACACTCCATGCTACGATTGCTGTCAGTGAAGGGACACTTCCGCAGGTCATGCGTATTATAATGTGTCGGTCTATCGCATGTGACGATGATGTGATCATGTGATGTGTGTCCTGTCCTTGGCTTAGATACGATAATGTCAGTACGTTGCAGTAGAACAGAGTAGGTTACCACTGTAACTGTTATACCCAGCGAAAACACTGGTCATTCTAGATAGAATTTAATGTAGCCCAACAAGAGTAAGTATACACTGTGTTGGTCTCAGGCATCACTTTGATTCTGAATAAGCGGGACCACTATAACAGTCACAGGAATAAACAAGCGTTTTGAATCCGCTAACCCCCGGTAACGTCCGTGTCGCTCGTGTAAAAAATGTTAAATAATAATAATTGATATAAAAAGAATGAATTGAAAAAGAAATATAAAATATTTTTTTTTTAATTTGCTGCTACCCACCAATACATCATTTCAGATCGAAGCCGCGACGGACATGCCAGCGGATCGACAGACCACGCCACCACGGGGAGAACAGCTTGCCGCCGCCGCCGCCCGATAAAACAAAAGGTACCGCCGTCTCGCGTCGCCTCCGCCTCCCCCGCGCGCGTTGCGACAAACAATGGGGTTCTCCGACTTCCTCGCTTCGCTGAAAGACAACCCGTATTTCGGCGCCGGTTTCGGTCTCTTCGGCCTCGGAGCGGCGGCCGCGATCGCGCGGAAGGGCCAGCAGTACGCGTACGTGTTCTTCCGTCGCAACTTCACGATGACCTTGGAGGTGCCGAGCAAGGACAAGAGCTACTCGTGGCTGCTGCAGTGGATCGCCGTGCACTCGCAGCGCTCGCAGCATCTCAGCGTTGCCACGACGTTCCGCCAGCGCGACGACGGCAGCATCGTCACGCGCTTCGCGTACGTGCCGAGCCCCGGCGACCACTTCTTCCGATACGGCAACACGTGGATCCGCGTCGAGCGCACGCGCGAGAAGCAGATCGTCGACCTGCAGACGGGGTCGCCGTTCGAGAGCGTGCAGCTGACGGCGCTCGGCCGCAGCAGCGCCCTCTACACGCGCATCCTCGAGGACGCGCGACGCATGGCGACGCGCGACACCGAGGGGAAGACGATCATGTACACGGCGATGGGTCCCGACTGGCGGCCGTTCGGCTACCCGCGCAAGCGGCGCCCCCTGACGTCGGTGATCCTCGACGCGGGGGTGGCGGAGCGCGTGATCGCCGACGTGCGCGAGTTCGTCGCCGCGCCGCAGTGGTACACGGAGCGCGGCATCCCGTATCGCCGCGGCTACCTGCTCCACGGTCCGCCGGGATGCGGCAAGAGCAGCTTCATCACGGCGCTGGCCGGCGAGCTCGGGTACGGCATCTGCGTGCTGAACCTCAGCGAGCGAGGTCTCTCCGACGATCGCCTCAACCACCTCCTCAGCGTCGCTCCGCAGCAGACGATCGTGCTGCTAGAGGACGTCGACGCGGCGTTCGTGTCGCGTGCCGACTCCCCGTCGACGCGCGCCGCGTACGACGGCCTCAGCCGCGTCACGTTCAGCGGGCTGCTCAATTGTCTGGACGGCGTCGCGTCGACGGAAGCCCGCATCGTCTTCATGACGACGAACTACCTGGAGAGACTCGACGCGGCGCTGATACGCCCCGGGCGGGTCGACGTTCGAGAGCTGATCGGGCACGCGAGCGAACACCAGCTGCGGGCGATGTTCCGGAGGTTCTACCCGGAGGAGAGCGAGGCGGCGGCCGGGGAGTTCGCGGAACGCGCGGCGGCGCACGGCCGACCGGTGAGCATGGCGCAGGTGCAGGGGTTGTTCATGGTGTACAAGACGGACCCCGGCGCTGTGCTGCAGAACACTGATCGGCTGTGGACGTTGTAGCGTCCGCTGCGGCATTGCGCACGCCTGCGACGTCACGCCATGTAGGGCTGTGCGTGTGTGTGGATTTGTATGCACATGCTTATATTCGAAGGGGAAGGATGTTGTAGCGTCCTCTGCGGCATCGTGCATTGTGCTATAATGTGTGAGGCAGTGGCAGGGAACAAATTACTTTTTTTTCACGGGAGCTCTTTTTCAAAAGTCTGTGTAAAAAATAGCTCTCGCCAAAAATTTTACGCGAGCTATTTTGAGCCTCACGGGAGCGATTTCGGAGGTTTGAAGAGCGAATCGCTCATCGCTCCCGTGTATTTTTTACCCTGGGCAGTGGGATTATATATATATATATACGCAGTGTGTGGGGGTTTGTACGCACGTGTGTTTTGAAGGGGAAGGGTTAGAACCGCATCTCTTGGATCGAGTTTCTTCTTGAAATGACCGATCTGAAGTTTCTTTCTCGTAGGACGGTGAATGTTTGCAAAGTTTCTGCGAGGAATTTGAACGTGTCGTGATGAGTTAGTTGTTCCTGGTGACCTTCCGTTCTCGCAATTGTGATCGTATTGTCGTGATTCTTGGCGTCGGTCGGGTGCAGCGCGTCGTGCCGTCTGATGGACTATCGGGATGTGGTTTCCGTGACGATCATTGAAGCAGAGTTTTTGTTGAGCGGTTTAGCATTTGGAATGGTTGACCATTTTACGTAGTAGGCGAAGATTTTAAAAGTGCACAATTGATAACTATTAACATATATGCAAGTACACAGGGTGCGAAATTAACGGGAGTCCGGAGTCAAATACTCCCTGATTTACTGCCGGACTCCCTGATTTGACATATATGCAGGAGTCCGTGTCAGTTCGTCAGACATATGCAGGAGTCGGTCATTTTGCTGCGGGCTCCCTCTTTTTGAGGGCAGGGAGTCCAGTCCGTTGGACTCCCTTCTTCAAAAGTTAATTTCTACCCCTGAGTACATGTACGTATATACTGACTCTGTATGTGTACGTAATGGAGTTGACAGCGCGCTAGCTACTGTTCTTTTATTAGGTAATGCATGTTTAATTCATGTACTGCGTATTTGGAGTCGTAGATTCAAAGGCGCGTGAGAGATTCATCAAGGCAGGCGTTCTTTAGACGCTCTATCGGGAATTTGGCATACTGATGGACGTTAAAGCTATATATGGTCACATCCGTGTGTCGTGAGCTAGATTCTTTTGAATAAATAATCTAAAAGTACGTGACCATTGATATTTTTCGTTTACCTCTAATTTATCTCTCTGAAAGAGACGTCTCGTGTAACAAACATGAAATTTACAGATAGACGCAAAGTCAATTGTTGTTTGCGTTTCATTTCTTTGTGTATTCGTGTATTCACATCATTTCTTCGTATTTGAGTAACAATCCAACGGCGCCAACTGCAATAATCGAAACTATACAATTTTATCAAAAGCATCGCAGTAACAGTTTTGTTATTTAATTCATGACAATTCTAGATAGGTAAACATGCATACATTCCACAAGAAATTTACTAACGTTTAATAAAATTATTAAAATTATTAAAATCTTTTTATATAAAATTTTCCATTGAAAAACTGCGTGTTTTCCATTTCAGGAGAATAGCAGTTTTGAATTCGAGAAAACACCGTTACGTCTCGTTACCGTTACCGCTGCATCGAGACATACACGAAACCGATTTACATTGCGAGGTAATTCCGACGTTTTCGCATTACAATACACGTCAAAAACATCGAACGCTGTGCACTTTTTGATCGAGAAATAACTCGTTACTTCGTTAATTTCTTACAATAGCATAAAGTTGTAATCAATAATTCTTGTAACGATTGCGTTACGAGTTCCACATAACTTGTTATGGAGCAAGAATAGGTAATGCCATCAATCAATAGCAAATATCACAGGTGATATCTGAGTACTAAATCTAAAATGAGTTTACGACAAGACACAAACGGATACAAAGAGTACAATGCCTGCATGCGCGCCCACCGCGATCATTCTCTTTCCTCCTAATCATTTCGAATTACGAGGAATAATAGCACTCAAGGAAAAAACCATCATACAGTCAAGCCTCGACGCTTATTTTCAGATCTTGTTGTCCTGTCGGGCAACAAGAAGCAATTTTTACTTGTCCGAATTTTACGTTTGACGTGAGAACGTGGTGCGATAGCCCCCTGGCTCAAAGGATGTTAGGAATAACAACTCGAATTTTTCAGTTGTCCGATCAGGCAACTAGGCAAGAGAATAACTTGTCCGACATAGACATTTACTTGTCCCGGGCAATCGGACAACCGTTAGTGTCGAGGGCTGACAGTAGGCTGTGCAACTAAATGTTTTGGCATTCACCATTTAAAAACATCAATAGTGAAAAGGATAGCGGAATCGTTTTGAAAGATTGGCAGTCCCCAAACTATTGTAACCAACATATTAGCCAGCGAGCCGTGCAGCCGTGATTTGCACGCTTAGTTTTTAAATTGCATGCAGCACAGCCCAAAAAATTAAAAAATTAAAAAAAAATTCTGGGGGAGGCCCCCCAATGAGAGGGGGAGGAACCCCTCTCATACTCTCCCCCCTCCGTGAACGCCTACGGCAGTCTTGGCTGAGACACACAAAAATTGCAATCCCAAATATATTTTCTGCACTCCCATAATACTCATTCCTGGCCAATACCCTTATGGTAACTACGGTTATGGCAGTGTATGGTATATTATAAGTTATATAATTCCTCATATAAGTACAGCCCAGCTCTCTGCATCTCTGCGTGCACAAATCTCATCCTGTTAGCCTTCATGAAGACGTCAGCAGTGTTCTTTCTCGCCCTACGTCGCGCTAACGCTACGATCTCTCGCTCAGGAACGAGGGATGGCCGGACTGACAGACGATCAGAAGCGAAGGATCGAGGATAACCGTCGCATGGCCCTCGCCAAACGTGCGCAGCGACAGGTGGCGCCGGCGGGCGGGCAGCGGCAGGTGGCGCCGGCGGGCGTGCAGCCGCAGACGCCGCTGCCGCTGCAGCCTGTGATGCAGATGCAGCCTGTTGCTGCTAAAACTGTTTGCTCCTACCCCTCCTCCGTCACCGCCGCCGCACCTTCCAAGAATCCCCCTTCCTTCAAGGTTCCCCCTCCCTCCAACGCTCTCTCTTCCTCTACCGTTCGCTCCTTCTACCCCTCCTCCGTCACCACCGCCGCACCTTCCAAGGTCCCCCCTTCCTTCAAGGGTCCCCCTCCCTCCAAGGCTCTCCCTTCCTCTACCGTTCGCTCCTTCTACCCCTCCTCCATTACAGCTGTGCCTCCCAAGGCTCCCTCTTCTTCCAAGCCTCCCCCTCTCTCCAAGGCTCCCCCTTTCTCCCACGCTCCCCCTCTCTCCCGCGACGCCCCACCCGCCGCTACACCGTGGAGCGGCGACCCGCCCCGCCACCAGGAGGCGCTGCCCGCGGGGGCGGGGGTCCGCGGCGAGTGTCGCCTCGTGTCGAGCGATCGCTTCGAGGTCGTCATGCCATACCACGCCGGCGCCGTCGCCGCCTTCAAGACTGTCCCCTCCCAATCCTACGACGCCACGACCAAGCGCTGGAGCTTCCACGTCGACGACCACGCGCGCTTCGGCGCCAGTCTACGCCCGCTACGCCCCGGCGCACGCGTCGACCCGCTCCCGAGGTTCGTCCTCGACGCCGTCTCGCGCCGCCAGGGGGCGCCGCGCCGCGACGACGACCCGGATCTCGCGGCGGCAGGCGTCGACGCCGGATTGGTCGCCGCGCTGCTGCCGTTCCAGCGGGTGGGCGTCGCGCGAGGGATTGCCGCCAGGGGGCGCCTGCTGCTCGCGGACGACATGGGGCTGGGGAAGACCATACAGGCGCTGGCGATCGCCGCGTACTATCGCCGGGAGTGGCCGCTGCTCGTCGTGTGTCCGAGCAGCGTGAAGCGCGCGTGGGCCGACGCGGTCGCGCGGTGGCTTCCCTCGGTCGCCGCGGGCGACGTCGTCGTCGTCGACGCGGCGCGGGGCGCGGTCGCCGCCGACGCGGAGGTCGTCGTCATGAGCTACGACGTCATGACGCGCCGCGAGAGGGCGCTGGCGTCGTGCCCGTTCCGCGTCGTCATCTTCGACGAGTCGCACTTCCTCAAGGACGCGAAGAGCGCGCGGACGCGCGTCGCCGTGGCGACGGCCGCCGCGGCGACGCGCGCGCTGCTGCTGTCGGGCACGCCCGCGCTCTCGCGGCCGCGCGAACTCTTCACGCAGCTTCGCGCCGTCGCCCCGGCGACGTTCCGCAGCTTCCGGGAGTTCGGGGCGCGGTACTGCGCGGCGCGGCAGACGCGCTGGGGCTGGGACTACGGCGGCGCGTCAAACCTCGCCGAGTTGCGAGCCGTCGCGGACGCCGCCGGCGTCATCTTGCGGCGGACGAAGCGCGAAGTCCTCTCCCAGCTGCCGGCGAAGCGTCGCTGCGCCGTGCTGCTAGGGGGCGTTGACGCAGCATCGGCGCGCGACGCCGCCACGCGCGATCTCTCCGGGGAGCGCTGCAGTGGCGCCCTCTTGGAGTTGTTCGCGGCAACCGCGCGGGCGAAGGCTGCGGCGGCGCGCGACTACGTCCTGGACCTCCTCGAGGGAGAAAGCGCGAAGATGATCGTGTTCGCTCACCACCGCTGCGTCATGGACACAGTGGCGGCCGGGCTGAGCGCGCGCGGACACCGGCACGTGCGCGTCGACGGCGCGACCTCCTCCGACCTCCGCGCCTCGCGCTGCGACGAGTTCCAGACGCGCGACGACTGCAAGGTGGCGCTGCTGTCGATCCGCGCGGCCGGCGCCGGGCTGACGCTGACGGCGGCGTCGTTGGTGATTTTCGCGGAGTTGTTCTGGAACCCGGGCGTGCTGATGCAGGCGGAGGATCGAGCGCACCGCATCGGACAGCGTGACTCGGTCGACGTGCGCTACCTGGTGGCGAAGGTTGGTACTACGCGAGCACGGTGGCGGGCGACGTTGTATTGGCTTGTATCGTGTGATGTCATCTTCAGTGTTTCCCCTGCATTGACACGAGCGAGGCCACACGCCTCGCTCAAATTCTCATGATCAGCTGACGAAACTTTTGACAACTTGGAAAAGAGATTCAAGAGTTTAATACAATGTGTTCAGAATAGCTAAGAATGCACCAAATTGCACCATTTTTTCTAAAAAAAATCCTGAGGGAGCATGCCCCCGGAACCCCTAGCTTGGCCAGCACCAATGCTCGCTTTGCTGGGACCTCGAAACGCGCAAACACATTACAAAAAACGTTTACCACCTCACAGACCTTTTTGGCTAGAGGAAACACTGATATTATATATCTCACATATCTCATATTGCATGATATGATATCATGTTATGCATCATCCTATCTTGTAGTATCGTATCGTATCATATATATTATATTTCAATACACTATTGTGTAACTATATGTCACCCTTCAGAGAATGTATATATCATGTATATATTGCATGCGTGCGTCCATGTGCGGGTGCGTGTGTGAGCGTTTTCATGCGTGTTTTCGCGCGTTGTGTACGTGTGTGCAGCGTGTCACCGCACTACATTAATGCTTCCAACATAACACATGCGTCTAAACAGAGGAATTGCTCCGACCTGTGATTGGAGGATAAAAATAGACCCCGCCCAATTTTCCATTGTTGGAGGATAAAAATAGAATTCGTGACGTTTCGTTTCACCGGTCACAGCCGCGCGTGCATATTTGCTAATTAATTTGACTAATCGCGCTTCAATAGACTCAAAAGTCACAGAGATTAAGGCTAAGATATGTGTCTATAATAGCTAGAATTTATAGAAATATAACTCAAATCGTTCGCTCCATATGACAGTTAGTACACGTTCCTACCCGTCATAGCATAGCATATGCGGCGGGAGTGAGCGGGGTCTATTTTTATCCTCCAATCACAGGTCGGAGCAATTCCTCCGTTTAGACGCATGTCAACATAACGTGATCGCGTGAGTAGCGTCTAACTCTGGTGGCGCCACCTGCAGGGCACTGCCGACGACCAGCTGTGGCCGCTGATCCTGCGGAAGCTGCAGGTCCTCAACCAGGCCGGACTCAGCAAGGACGACTTCGCCGACGCCGCGACGACGGTGGCGCCCCCTGCGCGCGACGAGGGGCAGGCGACAATGTGGAGGTACCTGCAGCGGGCGATGGAGGAGGACGAGGAGGGAGAAGCTGAGATGCTGAGAGCTGCGGAGGAGGCGGGAGGGAAGGAGGCTGACGGGGAGGCGGGAGGGAAGGAGGCTGAGGAGGAGGCGGGAGGGAAGGAGGCTGACGGGGAGGTGGGAGGGGAGAAGGAGAGGAAAGTTGTTGGGGAGGTCGGGGGAGGGACCATGTGGGAGGTTGGAGGGGAGGAGGGAAGGAGAGAGAGGGACGAGAAGGAGGAGGGGGCTGAGAGGGAGGCTGTAGTGGGAGGAAGGGAGAAGAAGGTAGAGGAGGAGAAGGAAGCCAAGAGGCAAGGGAAGACTGGCGCACCACTGCAGAAGAAGGCGAGGCTTTGCCAGTAGGTAACCATAGCAACGTGGAAGACTGTCTATAGTTTGAACTACCTTTGTAGATTCCTCAGATAGAAGGCTGAGTATGTTATGTCCAGTCTTACATTCGACGTGTATATTCCATATGTATATACTACATATTTTAAATTGAGTATAATCGAGATGTTCGTAGTGCAGTAGAGATATTTTTCCAAGGCTCTAAGCAGTCAAATAGTCAATACATAGGGCGTGTTGTTTCATGACTATGTTTTTGTAGATTTTGTTATACTTGTCATATGTGTAGAATTTTGTATGACGATTAAAATTGTTTATATTTTATTTTTAGATGCTTGTCTGTTTCGGTTTGGTTGAGCTCGTCAATATGGGTGATGACATCACAGCTGGGGGGGGGGTCGTAGTTCAAAAGTTAAAGAATCAAAAACTTGTATCACGAAGCATCACTTATCCGAAATGGCATCATGTAGCATTATATATTGAATTTTCTCATCGAACCACCCCTATTTACTTCTATTTATATATATAACACTTTTTTTTTCGCCTCGAGTCCCTAGCTCAGTCGCTGTGCCTTTACCCTTCAAAATAATGTTTTCTGCATCATTGTGTTTTTGCAAATTATGGTGATAAATAAATTTTTTGAATTGAATTGAATTGAATTATATTTAATTCTTCTTATATTACTTATTAGTATACACAAATAACCTAAATAAATGTAACGTATGCACACACGCACGAACAGATGGACGCGCGCGCGCGCGCACGCACGCACGCACGCACGCACGCTGCCCTTGCACCACTTACAGGGGACGGACCTATCCTCTGTTATTTCCGCCACTGTCACTACATATCTCCCCTTCTGGTGTTTCTTTTTAAATAAAAGTGATTCAGGAATGATATGATATAGTACTATATATCGTAGATAGATATCAAATCATATTTCAGGAGTTAATAGAATCATATTTGGTTTTATTCAATCCTGCTTATCTGAGGATTCGTTATTTGCCGGATCACAGCATTGTTTATCATTTGGATCGTTAGATGGCGCGCGAGCATCAAAACACGTCTATCCACGCGCGAACCAGAGCGCGAACACAGAGAAAATCCAAATAACATAAACACAACGTCAAAAAATGTTAGCGATAAGGAATGGAGTCAAAAAGGAATTTAAAAGTATATTAGCTGTTAATATTTTAGTTTAATTTCAAATCTTTAGGTACATAGCCGTTGCTGGCCTATCTTTACAGTCACATTAATTTCTGTAATTGTTTGATAGAGCTGGAAAGCTGGAATTCGAAGAATGGCGCTGACCCTATAACCGAATAATTCTGTCGCAGATTATCTCTAGTAGTAGTAGTAGTACTAATATGCTCTAATAGGCGGGGGCCCTGCGGGCAACTGTACGCTGGCTAATAGGTTACGTAGAGCTAGTCGCAGATAGACTTTTTAATTTTATATTTGGTGAGGGTTATTCTTATTGCATGAGTCGCATGATCCCATTGGAACCCCCAATCATTCAATTGGGGGTTGCGTCGAATAAACCTCACAAAATATTAAAAAAGTTACCTGGGAGCAGAATTATTCCGCACAGAGGCTAGAGGCTGAACCGAACTATTCCGCCCAGTGGCTACGGGTAGGTACGCCGTACGTCCGTCTGAAGCGCTCTTTTTGGCGTTAGTGTTAGGGTTAGGTTTGAGGGTTACTACCAGCCGTACGCGGTTAGGGTTTCAGCTCAATCTAAACTCCAAAATCGTGATTTATTCCCAAGGCGTTATTTCGAAAATCTGCGCGGCCACCGCAGCCAGTCTGTTGTCTCGTTAAAGTATGAGCCGAATGGGACTCTCGTACCCCGTAGCCTCGAGACATAAGATACGGCTACCGTACCCGTAGCCACTGCCGAACTAATCAGATATGATACTCAGCATACTGTACGGTGTACAGTCTGGTATAGCTCCAAGAAACGGTATTGTTAGGGTTAGAATACCAGACAATCCGTCGCACAGCCTGGTCGGGCTTAGTCTGGTACATCATGATCATAGGCCTAGTTACATGTGTATTACTCTGGCTGTCCCGGCCGGTAGGTCGTACATGAGCCCCCCTTCACTTGTAAGTTGTAGCGAGAGTGAATGGGCTACACCGGTAGAACCACGTCACGTGTACATTAGTCCAAACCAGACTCTACAATAGTTTTCACGTTGTAGACGTAGGACTTTCTGGCATTTCTTGGTCTTACCCCATGGCGTAGTGAGATTAGAGCGAGAAGGTAACTTCTGGCTGCATGTACATGTAACACACTGAAACATTACATAGTACATTGTAACATATTGAAAGACCCGTGTCACATGACAGCCGATGATAGCTAGACTTCGCAGCATGGTTGGCCCGTGATGAAAGTAATAGTAATACACTACCTTGCTCATAAGACAATAACGCTGAGAGGGTCTATGTCCCTTAGGGTACGCACTGCCGGAACGTACCCTGGTACTATCTAATAATATGCCGAACCGTACCTTGCCTACTCCACTAACGAGTCTAGGGAGTCGCCTACGCCCACTCCCTAACCCTAACCCCAACCCCAACCCTAACCCTAACCCTAACCATATCAAATAGTTACCAGGGTACATTCTGGTATACCGGACCGTACCCAGGGTACGTTCCGGCAGTACCCTGGGGGACATAGACCCTATGAGCGTAACTTTTGGCTGCATGTACATGTAACACACTGAAACATTACATAGTACATTGTAACATCGAAAGACCCGTGTCACATGACAGCCTATGATAGACTTCGCAGCATGGTTGGCCCGTGAGGAAAGTAATACGTACACTACCTTGCTCATAAGATAATAACCTGTACAGTTAGGTCTACGTTAGCCACAAGTTACTTTCTCGCTTCTCACTGGCGAGAAGCGTTCCTACGACGTGAAACAGTCGTAGAGCCTGGTCGGGCTGGGTCTACACTTGTAGTGCTTCATTTCACCATATTACAGAGATACGCAATGATACAGATATACACAGATATACTGGTTGCAGCAGAATACAGAGATACACCCTAGAGGCAACCCTGCCCAGCAGCCGTACATAATTCACATGAATGTTCATTGCACTAGAGTCGGCTATTAAAGCCACGCGTATAGTATACTATGGCCATGTAATGAATCTACATTTCTCTGTCCCCCTCCTGCCGCTAGCTGTGTCCCTGATGGCCTAGCCAGGTTGTGAGACCAACATCAATACACATACACATACAGTAAGGTCTTAGGATCTATGGTGGTTTCTTGTAGCTGACTGTATATATTGATATACCCCCTATATATGTTAATTCTTCCATCAGAAGTGAAGAAGCCAAAGTCGCCCGATGTTCGGCTGACCGAGTTGATGTCTGACCTGAGAATGAAAGTCGGACAGTTGCATTCTTGGGAGGACACGGCGAAATCCGTCCGAATGTCCATGATGGTGAATAAATAAGTCATGATGTACTTGATGTACATGTCGAGTCAAACCTGTGTGTGATCACTGTTAATATTAATAATAATAATAATTAACAGTTATTATATTAACAGTTAACAGTTATTATAGGCGAGGTGAATCTTGTTGAATAATCCCCGAGACGAAGTTATTCATTGCTAATATAGTATATATGTATGATAATATAGTATGTTCATAGTATTATGACATATATGGCATATATTTTTACATGAGACTTAATTGTAAGTCACGTATAGTTGCCATGTATAGCATCGCGAAACATTCTCACGTGTGACACGTAGGGCTAATGTATGTCACGCCAGCTGTCAATTCCTGGTTGCTTCACCATTCTAACCTTGTTTCGTTTTGTTCAGGAAAAGCGCACGTTGATGGACAGTCACGATCGCAGACAACTGCAGAAATGTCTGGATGACTTGCAGAGAGCCATCAAAGGTATGCGCTCACCCGATTACAGAGATTGGAAGCTCTTCTATTATTTCTGTAATACATCTGCAAACTTAATGGATGTTTGTACATATAGTGTTCACAATTATAACCTTTTGCATCTTACTATTTTCTAAAATTCAGAATGAGCAGAGGCCAATAATTGACAGATTGAGATGTTCAACTACAATATTGCTCTAAACCTAATCGAAAATTCAGCCTTAAAATTTGTCGGTATCTGTTTCATTGTTTCTTATTCAGTCACATCAGTGCAAACTATGGTTGAAAGGCTAGAGAGTATTTCAAGGCAGCTTGGGTAAGTATGCATGATAAGAATTCAGTGTAAAAATACCAAAGATTGTATCTGATTAAAAGTTCATTTTAATATAAATTTCCATCTGAAACTATAATAAAGTGTAACTACATTTAAGTGTAACGTTGAGTCATTGAGTTTTGTTTGACACGAATGTTTGAAAGTTTGAGTTTGATGAAATTAAATGAATTATGTCTTGAAAAATGCTTCAGCAAAATGTAAAAAAGTATAATTTTTTGATTTAACGCAATAAAAAGTGTATTTCTCACACGAATTTCTGCTCACGCCTCGCTGCCATGCTGCCCCGTGCAATTAGGTTCACGTCTTGGCTGCCCATACGTTACACTTACGCTCATATATTACGCCCCGTCTTGTAACATACATGGCGCTGCGCTTTCGCGCAGTCCCATGAAATCAAATGAAAAATGTCTTCAAAAGTCGCCCAGTGAGATGAAAGGAAACCTCGATACTTTTTTTACGATTTTACACAATTAAAACTGTCCATGCTGTCGCGCAGGCTCAGGTTTACGGCTGGCTCGTCCGGCATTGAGTGTTTCATCAGCACGGACACATTCTACGTGGAGGTCACGCTGGACCCCGGCGAAGGTCACGCCAAGGACGTGAGGATCGCTCACCGTGGCGAGCCGTCGGTGAGTCGCGTGAGATCGTCATGCCGATATGTGTTTATAGTTAGCCGACTATATGTTATTTATCTATTACTATATCTCTTTCAGAGTTGCGACGAATTGGTGCAAATATTAAGGTGAGTGTACCGGGGACACCTAGTAACCGAATTGCTCATAGGAGGTTTTCAATGCAAACAAACAAACAAACAAACAAACAAACAAGTGGAAGATGAGTTGGAAGGTGTTGACTAAATTATTCTCCAGAAGTGGGTTTGAAATGTGTGGAGTTACTGATTACTTTGTGTGTGTGTGTGTGTGAGTGTGTGCATACGTGCGCTTGTGTGTGCATACGTGCGCTTGTGTGTGCGTGTGTGCGTGCCTGCATGCGTGCGCGTTGGAAATATTTCTGTCATTTCTTGATTTTACACATGTCTGTGTTTCATTTCCAGACGCGGCGACTTCACAGCATTTACCGAGCATCTGCAGGGACTATCCGCTATATACCAAATCAGCTCCGACAAGTGAGCATGCGTATATTGTTTCTCACCAGTCCACGGCTTTGTCTGTATATTCATACTAATAGATATATCAATCTGAGCGAGATAACATTATATGTTAGGGCCTTAGCCTGTGTGGGTGGGGTGGGGGGCAATGGGGCAGCTGCATAGATTTTGGAGCAAAATTAAAAAAATAAATTGTTCGACTAAAAGAGAATTTCGTAGTCAGAATGAAGGCTTTACATGTACTCAAAAGTACCTCAAATACCATCTCCTGCGATCTACATTTTCAAAAATTTGTGTGGGAGGACCCCCAGACCTCCCACCTCTTTCTCACCCTCTCCTTGAAATCCTGGATCCGCCACTGCCCCCCCCAGGCATTTGCTCAGCCTACGGCCCTAGAGCGAGATAACATTATAAGTGGTGGTGATATTACTAATAATCATATGTAATCAATATCAATAGCCAATATATACCCATTCGATATTGTTGCTAAGTCACTTAAACTTTATAGTTTTGTAAGTGGGTTTTTTGAAACACGTGCACACCAATTTGTCAGCTTTGTGGCACTTTGATGCTAAGCAACGTTTTTAGAGGACGTCGCCGCATCAGCACCGATCAGGTAAAACTACCTGTATGTCACTTTAGGCATGACCTATGTATATTAAATTAAATGTAAATAAAATTTCAGGATTTTGGTAACATTTAATGACCCAATCGATGTGTCATCTATTAAACATTAATGACGATAATGAATAATAATAATAATAATAAAAATAAAAATAATAATATTGTTAATAATATCAGGAGTAGATGAAGACCTTCATCTACTCCTGATATTATTTATAATTTCACAGACATCAGAAGATGAAAGGATATTTGGCACTTCAGTCCCTTGAAGCAGATTTAATAATGCTAGCAGAGTTGCAGAAGTAAGTTCTATATTTGTTATAATGCATTAGAAGGGGTCATCAGGGTGTACCCCTTAATATCAGTTTGCAGTAAATATTTCCATCATTCTTTCGATTCCTAATCAGTATTTCCATTTCTCACCCGAATTTGTTGATTAAATTCCTTTTTATTGACGCAAACTGAAAATCAACGCGGGTTTTATATCATTCTATAATCAATATATAATTGTATCGTTTATGCGTATTAGCGGATGACTGACATTGATTTGTGCGCATTGCATTGCTTTCCAGTTGCTCGATTTCTGATATATCTGATCTGATACACAAATCTCCATTAGGAATTCTTCAACCGAGAATAGGAGGTGAGCTTTTAGGGTCGTAACTGTAAAAATGTTTGGTATAGTTCTACGAACACATGTATGTGCAGTATGCATGGGTGCACGGTAATTATTGCATTTAATGCAGTATTTTACTTAATTTGCACTTAATTGCAGTAATTTATTTACTTACCTAATGATAAGTCTGAGTAACTTAATTCCCTCAGCCTGACAAAGAGACTGCTAGAGCAGTCGTAGAAACTGTTGCTAGCAGGTTCATTTATAAATTTATTAATAATCAATCGATACTCAATCAATTTAGCAGGTCAACACTTAATCTATCACAAAGTTATGATTAATATTCTCATAAAATCTGATGTATTTATAAAAATGAACAAAATTGAATACTATAGAATTAACGAATATAATTTATTTTGAGAGTAAAACGATCGTCTTAATTGCTGATGCGCTTATCTTGCTGGCACAGGTCGTGCGTTACAACTAGTCTACCTCGTCTCGCCCTACGAGCTGCTGGACAGGGATGAACGAACGTCCATCACGCTCTCCGTCGAAAGTTAGTTATAGTTAATTAGCTGATTTGACGATCAGTTTGCGTCAGATTTCAAGAGAACAAGTTCGAAAACTTAGGATGTACGAACAGTTGAATGGCTGTGTACATGTTAATGTATTTTGCTATGAACATCTACATACACATGTATGTATGTATATATATATATATATATTTACATACTACATTAGCATCAGCGGCACCTAGTGACATTTTCCGAAAAATTCTAAAAATGGCATTGCAGTAACAGCTCATGTAGTGTTCTTTCATGTTCATTAATTGTTTAAATACAGTCACAAACCCAGGCCCATAAATAAATTTTGGCCGTGCTATAGATATGTCCTTGGCAAATGAAACGTGTGCCTTCTCCACTACATCACTGTTGCCACGTGAATATATGTACGTGTAATACGTATGAATGTGTGTGTTCATATGTGTTTGTGGGTTTGTGTGTATGTGTTCATGTGTGTTTGTGTATTTGTGTGTAGATGTGATACAGAGGAAGATTGGAGCAACACTGAGAGTCAACATAGAACCATCAGAGTCACACAAGCTTCAGTCTAGACCATTGATGTCCGTCGCAAAAACCCAGGACGGAAAAAGGTATCGCGTACTAACCCATATTTCCGCATTCGCTCATTCTCTTACAAATCGAGACAACTTAGTATTATAAAAGTAAGAAGTAGTATAGTAGTAAATTTAATGGTAATTAAAATGTAGGCTATGATGATATAATCCAATTGATGATTGGTGAAATTATTTTATTTAATGAATTGCAATCGTATCATCAGCTAATGTTTGCTACATTGAAGGAGTCAGTCATTATATTATGATATATTATATTATATTATATATATATATATTTTATCAAACTATATTATAACTGATATTCTATATTTTTATATATATTTATATTATAACTATATATATATATATATTATTATATATTTTATGTGATGGGCTGCATCTTATCTACACGATATCTTCGTCCTGTGTTTCAGTCTGCCATCTGTCATTCATTTGATGCCGATGTAATTTTTTTTATATAATAAGTTTTGTTCTATATATAATATTGTATATATAGAGATTTTGCATATATACAGATATATATACATATACATGTACGTGTCTGCATCCATCAAACAATCCTTTTGTGTGTTTCAGTCTGCCATCGTTTGACGCGTTGAGTAACTTGAACAGCATCCCTCTGCCCGCCTGCTTCACCCTCGACCTCGGATGCCGCGTCGCCATAGCAACGTGCCTCGTGCGCAAGATCCAAGCAATAACGAGTAAGTGTCGCGTTGCCACAGCAACCTGCCTCGTACACAAGATCGTAGTGATGACGATGATTTCATGAGATCCTGTATGATTGAGCGACATCACACACAGTGGCATGATGTGTCTCGCAAAGTTACTTGCAAAATCCAAGAATTGCCAAGTGAAATGCCACGTGTTTTTTTGTCTTTACAACTTGCGTCTGTAATGCATGAATTAAAGATAGGTTCACGATCAAACATGATTAGATCTGTTAGTCTACCAAATGAATGAACTTAATTAATGAGTTATGATTAAATCCTGCGTGTGAGAGTCTTTACTTACATGAATGCTTGTCTTTACAGACGTGGAGTTTGCTGAGATTTCTCAGTCTACTTCCTTAGTCGACCTGATAGTCAGAGAACATTCCCACGCCGCCACGGACCCGGGGAAGGGACTCCACGTCGTAAGTGCCTCGACTTCGTATGTTTCTAGCACTAGTGTCAGTGCCTAACCTATATAACCAACAGGGGTAGAAATTAACCTTTGAACAAGGGAGTCCAACGGACTCCCTGCCTTCAAAAAGAGGGAGTCCGCAGCAAAATGAGGGAGTTCGCAGCAAAATGAGGGAGTCAGCAGCAAAATGAGGGAGTCTGCAGTTTCAGTTATGCAGTTCAAAACTAAAGATATTAACAATAATGCTGTGCTATTAGCAATAAGCATTTGCTTATTTTGAAGATTCCTTCTGAAGGGAGTCTGCCAAATTTTCTTTGGGCATTTGCTGAAAAAATACGGTAATTCTGCGAGGCCATGCTCTGGAACGAACTAGTTAGTAGTATATCAGATTTTTCAGGGAGTCACACGGACTCCAGCATATGTCAAATCAGGGAGTCCGACAGTAAGTCAGGGAGTATTTGACTCCTGTTAATTTCACACCTTGTAACCATGCAACATATATACACCTAACCTACATATAACCATTCTTCCCTGAATATTGTCGCTGTAACTAGGTCTAATGTCTAGGTCTTATAACTAATTAGTGCCAGACTGTAGACACCATCATTTTGTTTTGTTATTTTTATCATTTATTAATTATCTATCATTTATCAGAACAACTCTTCATTCAACGAACGTGTTCTTTCTCGTAGTCCCTTCCCAGCAGGCATCAGCATATGATTTATTAATTTTATCTCTGTATATTATCGTCTTTATCGCGTTACTTTTCGTTTCAACGAATAAACGCTATAAAAATAATACGCCCCGTGTTGTTTTTTGTAGTCCCTTCCCGGCGGGCAGCAGCACTGCTACTACTTTGCCACACCGGCGGCAGCGACGGTGGCGGACGAGGAGGAGGGAAGGGGGAGCCACTTGTCGCTTCGCGGCATCGCCGTCTGCCGCGTCCCGTTCACGCATCCGACGCACGTGCCACAGATCGTGGCGACGCTGCGGCGGCAGGCGATGTTCAGCCGTGTCGTCGCTAGCTGCGTGCGAAACAACGCGCGCGAGACAGGTAACAGGTTGACCCCTGCGGTGACGCGTGAGGTCGTCGCCTTAGCGATCAACAGCTTAATGCCACAAACATATATTAGTGATGAAAACTTGTAATAACCACCTAATGCACAAAATTAAGGATAATAAAAACATCTAATTTTGTAATGATATAATTAGTAATAATATAAGTAATTCCGAATGCGATTAATTGCTGTTCAGCATAAATCTTAACTGCATCTCATGTAATTTAACCAACTTCACAACACTAGCAAACATAATAATGATCAATTCTAAGCACGGTGTGTGATAAACTCGTGAAATTTAAGAGAATGGATGTTTACTGGCGAGAAACTAGCGCATAGTTTAATTCTTCATTTATTTTACATTTGCTATGTGCGATTGATTTTACAGAAGCGGGAGAGGCAACCATGTTTGAGGTTACGCCAATGTCATTGCAGTGTATCATCGTCACGTTTCAACATCCATGCGAGGAGTCTATAGCAACAGGTTGGCAACGCATCTACAGAATCTAACTTAATTTAATTAAAATTAATTAATTAACTTAATTTAATTAAAATTAATTAATTTCTTTCCATTAATTAATTGTCATTGTTTAAATTTACAGTATGAGGTAAACGTCGACGAATGTTAGTAATTTTCTCATTTCTCTTGCAAATGCATTAGCAAATTTTATGATTCACGTTTAGCATTACTGTGCCAGTCGTGTTGCTGTTACTGTTGGCACTGTGCCAAAAATATGGCAGAACTCTAATCATCAAGTGAGCTTCCAATGAGTTTGTCTTTACCAGTGTTATTTTACTGTGAAAAATAATTATTTTAGTAGAAGAATGTGTGATTTTCCGTATTCTAACTTGCGATATCCGTCGTGTCATGCATATGGGGGCTTTGACTCTTTCTTCTCTCTCTGCAGTGAAATTCGACCTGAGTGACGTTCCAGATATAAAGTGTGAGGTGGAGGTGGCCAGTGGCAGTGAACCTTTGTGTGACAATGAATTTGTCACCAAGGTGATGCAAAGGTTAGTCACCTAGTCTGCTCGTGTCATGTACGTGTGCGTGAGCATATAGTTGGGATATTATGAGTGTGAATATATAAGTGCATACGAGTGTGCATACGTTTGTGCCTCCATGCCTGTGAATTTGAGAGTGCATCCGTGCATGTATGTTGCCCTGTGTTATTCATTACTAATTATTATTGTTATTATTATTGAACAGATGTTCAACAACTGTTGAATATGATAATAATAATAATACTAATAGTAGGTAACCAATTACTTGCGTTCAGATCCGTAATAATACTGAGTGTTGGAAATTTATCAGGGGCCGAGAGGTAGGTTATTGTTATTATTATTATTATCATTATTTACTTGTATTATTTACCAGGTGTTGGTCCATCCCCATCACCATGCGTTCGCTGATCAGGAGAGCGGCCATGACACGACCGTCGTCGCCGCCACCGCCATCGCCGCCCGACCATTCTTACTCCACGGAAACCAAGCCTGCCGAACACTCCGATTCGGAATTCCTATTTCCTCGCCAGTACAGCGATAGGAACAGCAACGAAGTGAAATTCGTTAACGAGGATAACGTAAACGATGCCGATGTAATGTGTGACGTTTAGAATAATACAGCTTATTCTTTGTATTATCCGCCTTCTGGGTTGTCAATTCGGCTTCTCTGCTTAGCATTCAGCAAATAGAGATAGAGTGTGGCAAGTTGACTCGCAGTGCTACCAGTGGACTAACCCCCTACTGTAGCATTTACTGTGAAAGCAGCTGCAGGGCCTCAGGGTTACGGAAACGGAGATAGGCACCGCCCTATGCGCCAATGTTGCACATAGGCGCGGGAAGGATTTAACTTTTTTTAAATTGGGTTGTCAATGAATCCACAACATTCATTAACATTGACATTAATGACACGATGAAAGTGAAGATTTCACCATCACCATTAACAGCAGCAACAGCAGCAGCAACAAAAGCAACTATAACAACATCAACAGCCACAACAACAACAACAACCAGCTGCAGTAAAACCAAACTTTAAAGAAGTTTATATTACTATGCTCTCCCAAGATTCAAGATTCAAGATTCAAAGAAATTTATTTGTCACATAAGACGCATCCCTCTCTCTCTCTCTTCTCACCTCTGTCTCTGTTTCTGTCTCTGTCTCCTGTCTCTGTCTCTCTCCGCCTCTCCTTCTCTCTCTCTCTCCTCCCTCTCTCTCCTCTCTCTGCTTCTCTCTCTCTGTCTCTGCTCTCGTCTCGCTCTCTCTCGTCAATCGGTCTCGTCCTGCTCTTCTCTCCTTATCTTCTCTCTCTCGTCTCTCTGCTCTCTCTCTCTCTCTCTCTTCTCTCTCTCTCTGGCTCTCTCTCTCACACACGCAATCTTACCATATGATCTTACTTTCTCTCTATCTCTCCCTCTCCCTCCCTCTCCTCCTCTCCTATCCTATCTCTCGCAGAGGGTTGAGCGAGAGAAGAACTGTAGAGAGGGAGGTGGAGGGAGCAAGAGAGTTCGAGCGAGAGAGAACTGTAGAGAAGGGAGTGGGAGAGAGCAAGAGGGTTGAGGCGAGAGAAGAACTGTAGCGAGGGAAGGTGGAGAGAGGCAAGAGAGTTGAGGCGGAGATGAAAACTGTATGAGAGGGAGGTGGGAGAGCAAGAGGGGTTGAGCGAGAGAAGAACTGTAGAGAGGAGGTGGAGAGAGCCAAAGAGAAGAACTGTAGAGAGGGAAGGTGGAGAGAGGCCAGAGGGTTGAGCGAGAGAAGACTGTAGAGAGGGAGGTGGAGAGAGCAAGAGGGTTGAGGCGAGAGAAGAGAGCTGTAGAGAGGGCAGGGGTGGAGAGAGCAAGAGGGTTGAGCGAGAGAAGACTGTAGAGAGGGGAGGTGGAGAGGAGCAAGAGAGTTTGAGCGAGAGAAGAACTGTGAGAGGGAGGTGGAGAGAGCGAAGAGGGTTGAGCGGAGAGAAGACTGTAAGAGAGGGACGGTGGAGAGAGGCAGCGAGAGAAGAACTGTAGAGAGGGAGGTAGAGAGAGCAAAAGCGTTGAGCGAGAGAAGAACTGTAGAGAGGGAGGTGGAGAGAGCAAGAGGGTGGAACGAGAGAAGAACTGTAGAGAGGGAGGTGGAGAGAGGAAGAGGGTTGAGCGAGAGAAGAACTGTAGAGAGGGAGGTGGAGAGAGCAAGAGGGTTGAGCGAGAGAAGNGCCCTCCTTCTCTTAATCTGTGTCTCTCTCTCCTCCTTCCCCCTTTCTCTTAATCTCTGCTTCCATTCCTCACCCTTTACCTCTCGCTCCCTCCGTATTCCTTTGGTATAAACGGTTAGCCCCTGGTGGAAATTTAACTCGCGTACACATGTACACACACGCACGCACACACGCACACGCACGCACGCACATTCTGAAAGACACGCATGTACTCACGCAAGCTCATGCACGCCGGCGAATAGACGCAAGCACACGCGCGTGCCAATTGTTTGTTATTAAGGAATCTGCAATCTCACGTTATTTTTGAATTAGGAATTAAAAATTTCAATTTAAATGCAAACGTTTAGCTTGAATATCGAGGTGCATGGCGGCATAGATCAAAGTATTAGTACGGTAGTTGACCACCAGGTGGCTAGCCGTTTTTGAGCCAAAGGTTTTTGCACCAGTGAAATACATGAATAAAGACAGAGCATATCAATCACCATGATATAGCATATCATGCAAGAAGGTGGAGCGAGAGAATAACTGTAGAGAGGGAGGTGGAGAGAGGAAGAGTGGTTG